CCCCCCCCCCCCCCCGGAGTGTCCTCTTTTTTGAAAGTTCAAATATGGTAACCCTAGAGTTGTCCTCTAGCTCAGACAGAGGACTTGGGAGGAAGGATTGTCTCTTACCATGTGCCTGTACATCACCAGCACAATGGGCCCTGATCTTAGTGGGGGCTTCTGGGTGCTGTTGTAATAGAAATTCCTCTTTGCTGCTGCGTCTTCCTCTTTGCTGACGAAAATAAGATTGTTTTACTGTTAACCCTACTGAGCCAGTGCGGCTAGATTTGCGTGTGACTCGTGCAGAATCAGCAGAACTGGTCACTAGATTCTAGTAGCAGAATCTTTGCTGTGAGTGATGCACGCTGCAGAAGGAACCCTGCTAGATGCTCTGACCCCAAGCTGAGTTTGCAGGACCGGGAGTTAGACAAATATTTCTTTTGACCCGTCCACTGAGCAGCACGGTTAATAGGGTCACAGAGATGCTAAACATAGCGCCATTTCTGCGTAGACCCACACTTTAGTCGAGGTGATCAGCAGATGATAAGACCCATTCTGGGCACCTTTAATCCTATACACCTTGAAAATCTAAAAACATGAGCAATTTTCTTTGTATAAGGTATAGTTAAAAACAACTCCACGTTGCCATGAACCTGAAATTCTGTTTTTTAGTATTGGGGTTTGTGACAGGGCATTATTCCACTCCTGTCTCTTTTCTAGCCACAAACCGCTTGGAGACCATACACTCCATAGCTCACTCAGCCAAGGGCAGGGGCACAAAGAGATCTTTTCTGGCTCCGACTCTAAAAGCGTAGGATTTGGTGTCATGTCATATCATGTCATGTCCCGTCCCCCACCATCACCCGCACTTTTCTATTTTCTGGGCTAATGGCTTGATTAGCCCTGTAGCTTTCTCCAGCCTGTGCCCAATCTATCAATTAGGCACAACTTTGCTACTTAGATTTAATTGGTGATCCAGTGATCAGACTGCTGGTTAAAGACCACAGCGATAACCAAGAGATCATCAACCTCTATTTTCCATTAGGGTTATAATTTTAAATACTGACAGCTAGACATATTGGAAGTATAGGCCAGCTTGTAGGATGTTGTGCGTCTTTCCACCAGGGGGCGATGTTGCTTTGGCAAATTCAAAGCAAGCAAATAAAGAGACAAGCAAATCTAGGGAAGAAAGAAACAATTCCCTTCCTTTGAAGGCAGTTAAGATTAGGGTGACCAGATGTCCCAATTTTATAGAGACAGTCCTGATATTTGGAGCTTTTTCTTATATAGGTGCCTATTACCTCCCACCCCATCCCGATTTTTCACACTTGCTATCTGGTCACCCTAGTTAACATGTTACAGGAGGGGAGGGCTATGCTCATCATGATGGCAGAGAAAATACTGCATCTAATAATCCAGAAAAATCCCTTGCCATTTTCTCATTATATCTAAAAAATAAAAACAAAAAACAAACCAACCAACCTCTAGGCCAGATCCTCAGCTGGCATAATCAACATAGCTCCATTGAACTCAGTGAAGTCAGAGTTGTGCCCATTTACACCCGCTGAGGATCCAGGCCTATAAATGAATTGCAATTAACTCACTGGATAAACTGAACTAATGACTTTCTCTCCAAAGGGGCCTTCGCAAACCACTGTAAAATGAGCCAGTCCAGTGTACAGGCTAGTTCTTGCTTCTCTAGTCCTGGGCCGTAATAAAATGTCATGCTAATCCACCCAAGACAGTCAGTGTCCCATGAGAATCCACTGAATTTAGATCATGGCCATCATGCTAATATAGCAGACATAGGGTTGGGGCAGTTTACAGCAATTCTCACGTGTCTTACGCAGCGTGTGTAGAGGAATTGCTTCTCTCGCCTCTGAAATGCAGCTGCCTCTTGGGTGGAAGGCATCTCTGAAAATCAAGCCACTAGAACTTCAGCTCCAAAAGCTCAGGCCTCTGCCGCTTTAGCTAAAGGAAAATGTCTGTGGCCACTGTTATACCAGGCCCCTTACGCACGCTTTGGGCAGCCACTAGAAGAGTAGTTTTGAAACTTTTTTTCTGGCGACCCAGTTGAAGAAAATTGTTGACGCCTGCAACCCAACGGAGCTGGGGATGAGGGGTTCAGGGTGTGGGAGGGGGCTCAGGGCTGGGGCAGGGGGTTGGGATGCAGGAGGGGGTCCAGGCTGTGGGCGGGGGTGAAGAGGCTCTGGGGTGGGGCCGGGGATGAGAGCTTTGGGGTGCAGGATGGGGCTCCGGGTTTCGGGGGGGGCTCAGGGCTGGGGTAGGGGATTGGGGCGCGGGGGTGAGGTGCAGGCTTACCTGTGGCAGCTCCCAGTCAGTGGCGCAGCGGGGGTGCTAAGGCAGGCTTCCTGACTGTCCTGGCACTGCGGACCGTGCTGCGCCCTGGAAGTGGCCAGCAGCAGGTCCGCCTCCTAGGCGGAGGCGTGCAAGCGGCTTTGCGCGGCTCTCGCCTGCAGGCACCACCCCCCCTCAGCTCCCATTGGCCGTTTCCTGGCCAATGGGAGTGCAGAGCCAGTGCTTGGGGCTGAGGCAGCGCGTGGAGCCCCATAGCGCTCCCGCCTAGGAGCTGGACCTGCTGCTGGCTGCTTCCGGGGCGCAGTGTGGTGTCAGAACAGGTAGGGACTAGCCTGCCTTAGCCAGGCTGCACCGCCGACGGGACTTTTAACGGCCCAGTCGGTGGTGCTGACCAGATTCAACGCGACCCAGTGCCTTCCATTCCGTGACCCAGTACTGCCCTGGAAGGTGAGATGGCTAAGTTGCTCGTGCACCTAAAACCAGCATGATGCAGTGGGAAGGGTATAGTTCCCAGATAGACTAGAAGCACCAAAGGCCTTGCTTAGCAGGGTGCAGGTGAGTGGGGAGCAACCCATGGCCCTGACTTCAGCTGTTCTGTGTCGCAGGTGGATTTTGCCCTGTTCGTTATCAGCCAAACCGGGCTCATCATCTCCCTGATCTGTCTTGTCCTGGCTATCATCACCTTCCTCTTCTGCCACCCCATCCGTAACACCAGCAGCACCTTCCTCCACCTGCAGCTCAGCATATGCCTCTTCCTGGCCGATCTCCTCTTCATAGTGGGAATAGACAAGACTTACAACAAGGTACAGTAGGCGCAGAATTCTCCAGGCACTGTTCACAGCTCCCGTCGTGGTTTCTTCACCTACCCGCGTTGGGATCTCATATATGTTGGGCTGACTCCCAACTGCTTCCATTTACGCTTCGCTATTTCAGTGGAGTTACTCCTGATTTACACCAGGGTGAGTGAGAGGAGAATCAGGTCAATGGACTGCAGTAGAGACTGCACCACCCAGGGATGATTTTAGACACAACAAATCCTGCATCACGGTAGGGGGTTAGACTAGATGACCCTTGTGGTCCCTTCTACTTCTATGGTTCTATGATTCTGTGACCTATTGTAACTGCGACCTTTTCTGGGTAAAACCTCAATAATCTAACCCGCACCCAGTTGCCCCAGGTTAAAGGCTTCCTTCCAACCCCACAACTGGGCTGAGTTCGGTGAATCTGGGCTGATATTTGGAGCAGGCTGGAACTGATTCCATCCCAGTGCAAATCTCAGCAGGTATGAAACAAAGCCAAAGCCTGCTCTGACCCCGCTGAGACAAGATCCCCAGATTTCCACTGGCTGTACCTATAATGAAGCATTGAGCGGGGGCAGTGCTTCTCACACCAGGTGTTCGACAGACTTAGGGTCAGTTTCAGTTTCCCACCCTAAGCGTTTGCCTGGCCATAATCTAGGTGCATCCTCCCAAGTCAGGAAGAGAGCTCATCTCATCAAATAACCCTGGACTGACTTTCCATTCCTCCTCCAGCTCATGTGTTCCATCACCGCCGGCTTGCTGCATTACCTCTTCCTGGCTTGCTTTGCCTGGATGTTTCTGGAAGCGATGAGTCTGTACCTCATCGTCAGGAATCTGAAGGTGAAAAATTATGCAGGCACGGGCAGATGCACAAGAAAATACATGTACGCCTTTGGCTACGGACTCCCAGCAGTGATTGTGATCACGTCTGCAGCCAGCGCGCCCAGCAGCTATGGAACTCCTTATCAGTAAGTCCTGTGTGGCAAGGCGGAGCTTTGTCTCAGTATGGAGAATCTGTGCCAGAGCCCTGTGCCTAGGAGCACTTGTGCATCCTCCAGGCACTGGGGTGAATTCCATTCACACTGACTGTGTAAAGACTCCCACCTTAGATCAGCAGTGGCAACTCACCTTAGTCCTTCAGGGCAAAAGCCCAGGCCTCTACCACTTGAGCTAAAGGATCAAGTCCATTAGGTGGGAGCAATAGTAGGCTCTTATCCTCTATGTGGACCAGCCACTGGGTCGTGGTGGGGACACAACAAATTTAGCTAGCATGTTACAATTGCTCTCGGCAGGTTTCCTGTTCTGCTTGCTGTGTCCTAATCCCTCCTCCATGTGGGGGGCTGGATTAGATGACTTCTTGAGGCGCCTTCCAGCCCTACGTTTCTATGAGTCTTGTTTATAGAGAGTGGGCTGACAGAGAGTGTAAACAGGAAGCAGACAATGCACTGCACATCTTACAGTCCGCATGGGTTGTAAATACCCTCTGTGGAGACATTCGATCCTGCAAGCCCCTAACACTACCCGAGCTCACCCCAAATCCCAGACCTCTACCCTCTTCCTTCCAAATCCCAGCCTGGGCCTATACCTACATCTTTCCCCACAGCTCTCAGCCTCCCAGTCTGAATCCAGGCTTGGGGTTCTCTCCACATATGGAAGCCCCTGACTCTTCTCCCTGGGCAGACTTCCATCGTCTCTATAACAATACATTCTTTGGTTTCCGTTGGTTACTACCCACCTCTGTTGGGTGCTGCTTGAGGACCAGTAGCTCCTGAAACCGATGTACTCATTGCCCTGTTCCAAGTCCTGGTGACCAAATGGAACTGGATCTTCCCCTTTCAGTCTCAGCCTTTAAACTGTCCCATTTTTGAACCCTGTTATCCTGAAGTCTGACTGGATTCCACTTGTAGGTCTATTAGCAGAACCCGGGGATGGGGGCATACCTGGCAATGCCAGTGCCACCAGCTCACACGGCAGTGGTGCAGAGGTAGCAAATGCAGGCCGTACAGGTCTAGCCACGGTTCTGCTAATGGCCTTTCTCTCTTTCTTCGTAGCTGCTGGCTCAATCCTGATAACGGTTTTAGATGGAATTTCCTTGGGCCTGTCTGCGCCGTGGTTGTGGTGGGTACCGCAGGGTCTCGGGTTTCCCAGAGCAGCAGAACCAGAGGGCTGTCGTAGAATCTCTCACAGATGGGAACACCGAAGAGATGGGGCCCAGACCAGAGTCGCTAGGAGGAGGCGGGTCTGAGGCGCCTGTGGTCTGGAGCCTGAAAGCGTACAACCCGACCTGACCAAGGAGATTTTGCAAAATGAATGCACGGCTACCCCATTTTGGGAATGGCAGCCCCCTGAGGAGCAGCTGGCGTAATTCCAGAGCCCTGGCCCCTACACGTCCTCAGTGAGGCTAGCAGTGACAGACACCCCAGAGAGACAAGCCTCCTAAGGAGAGCTATCGCCTGTGGTGTGGGTGAGCTGGGGGGATAGGCCGTCTAGAACATAAAGAACAAGATTGTTCAGAGCCATCTGAGCAACAGAGTGGGCCTGATTCTCCTCACACCCGTCTCCCTCCATTGTCTTCAGTGGAGTTCCTCCTGATTTACACTGGCGTGAGGGAGAGGGGAAACAGGCCCAATGGAGTTACTCCTGGTTTACACCAGGCTGAGTGAGAGGGGAATCAGACACCACCGTGTATTTTTGACATTCATTGATGTTCAATATTCTCACGGTCCAGAACATTTCCTGGCCCGTTTAGGTTCCCCCCCGTATATCATCGATCGGCACAAGGCCTGGGGACTGGAGCAGCAAAGTGCTGGGGCTGCAGGTCAGCTGTAAGGCATTTCTCTGGGACACTAGGCCATCTCAAACCACCGGCCAAAACTAATTCTAACCCCAGGGTCCAATTTAATGTTCCATCCCACGGGCCAGATCCTCAACCGGTTGGTACTTGGTTACAGTCCAGTCAGGCGCTAGGCTGAGTTACACTAGGTGGGGCTCTGGAGCCTGAGGGTGAAATGAAATGTACGAGGGACTCCTTTGGTTTGTCTCTTTACAGGTTAATTTAGTATTTTTCTGCCTTACTCTGAAGCTTTTGCGAGAGCATCTTTCCTCCCTCAATGCAGAGCTGTCTACTCTGAGGAACACCAGGCAAGATTCCTAGGGGGGAAATGGATAATCTCTCTCTAGGTTCTTACGTGGGCCCTGTCACCATAGTGGCTGAACACCTCACAGATGTACTAATAGTTTTAGCCTCTCAGCAGCTCTGGGCGGTGGGGGAAATACTACTCACCTAGTCCCAGATAGGGAAACTGAGGCATGGAATAGGGTTGCTAACTTTCTACTCTCACAAAACTGAACACCCTTGCCCCACCCCTTAGCCGAGGCCCCGCCCCCTGCTCACTCCATCCCCCCTCCCTCTGTCGCTTGCTCTCCCCACCCTCACTCACTTTCTCATTTTCACCGGGCTGGCTCAGGGGGCTGGGGTGTGGGAAGGGGTGAGGGCTCCAGCTGAAGGTGCAGACTTCCAGGGTGGGGCCAGGTCTGAGGGGTTCAGCGTGCAGGAGGGGGCTCTGGGCTGAGGATTGGGGCCCAGGAGGGGGTCAGGAGTACAGGCTTTGGGTGGTGCTTACCTCAAGTAGCTCCCAGAAGCAGCGGCATGTCCCCCCTTTGACTCCCATGTGGAGGCGTGGCCAGGCGGCTCTGGTTCCTGGTCAATGGGAGTTGCAGGGGTGGCGCTTGGGACGGGGGCAGCGCGTGGAGCCCCCCTGGCTGCCCCTATGTGTAGGAGCCAGAGGGGGGACATGCCAGCTACATCCCAGGACCTGCATGGCACCGCCAACCGGACAGTCAACGGCCCGGTCAGCGGTGCTGACCGGAGCTGCCAGGATCCCTTTTCGACCAGGTGTTCCAGTCGAAAACTGGACACCTGGTCACCTTAGCATGGAGCAATCACATGATTTGCCCACAGGGAGTCTGTGGCTGAAACAGGACTTGAACCCAGATCACCTGAGTCCAAGTCCTGTGCCTTAGCCACAAGACCTACCTTCCTCCCCTGCTGCCTATGACGTTTTAACCACCCTCCTGGCCCCTCGCGCAGGTTAGTCTATTGTTCCCATTGCCTCCTGTAATAATACTTCGCTCTTTTTTAGCACTTTCCATCTGTAGATCTCAAAGTGCTTCACAAAGGGGAGGTCAGGATCATTATCACTAGCTTTACAGATGGAGAAACTGAGGCACAGAGAAGGGACATGACTTGCCCAAGGTCATGCAGCAGGCCAGTGCCAGAGTCGGGAATAGAACCCAGTCCCAGTCGGGTGCTCTGTGCACTAGGCCGTGCTGCCTCCCATACACACTCCACTCCTGGGGCTGGTGGTAACCTCTTTCTTGCTCTTCACTGAGCGTGGGGGATACAGTTTCAAGGGATCTGAAATGAAAACTAGGGGGGAGATTCTGCTCTCATGTCCCAGCCCCTCTGCTCTCCCTGCCAGTGCCAATATCCCAGTGACTGTCACACAGTTGTTTTTCTCCCCATTTCAGGTCACTGACTTTTAAAGCCCTGGCTCATCTCTTAGTCCTGGGCCTCACGTGGGGGCTGGGCACCTTCCAGTTCGGCCCGCTGGCCACGGTGATGGGGTACCTGTTCACCATCACCAACAGCATGCTGGGAACCTTCATCTTCGTGGTGCACTGCCTGCTCAACAGAAAGGTGATGCCTGCATGCCCCCAGCCTACGGGCAGCAGGTGTGGGGTGGATCTGAGCTTTTACTGTGGGTTGCAAAGGGGTGAGGGAAAGAGAGAAATGAAGGGAGCGGAAAAGGGGAGGGGAGAGCAGTAGGGTGCTGTGAGGCAGCAGTAGGGTGCTGAAATGCAGCCACCTCTGGGGCAAAGCATGGTAGCTGTTTAGCAGCATACAGCAACACAGCACAACTCTTTAGCGCCGGAACAGCTGGGCTGGATCCTCCGTGGGGGTATTTGGGATAACGCCTTTGGAGTCAAACATCAGCTGAGGACCTGGCCTGGGGAATGGAATTACCTGCACTGAGATTTGGCCAGCACTCTGGGATTGATTGGTGTGTGTTTGTGGGATTTAGCATGTCAAGATGTGGTCAGGGACTTGTGTTTACATCCCTGCTCAGACCCCATGAGTGACGGGGGATTTTCAACCCTCAGGTGAGAGAGGAGTATTGGAAATTATTTACCAGGCTTCGACGGTCAAAGGAAGAACCTTCGTCTTCCAATATAACTATGTCTGCTCTCGCCTCCAGCACAGCCACGGTAAGAGAGACTTGAGATGCATGGCTGCACAGCGTGAGCAGCAATGTACTAACCTCGACCCTCCCACCTCTGTCCCTCTCTCTCACTTTAATTAGCTCCATCGATAAGGTATTGCAAGCAGCGCCAATGCTCATACGGTCCATACATCAAGTCTCCTTGTAGAGGGCAGAGTTCCACACTGGTAATGCTCAGCCCTGGGTTTTGCCCCCTTTGTGGTAAAACCGATTGGGTTAGGCCATCGGGAGCAAAATGCAGAACAACATTTTGCAAAGGTTTTAAAGAAAAATTGTCACCAACATTTTGAATTTCCGAAGCGTTGTGACCACCCAGGAAGTTAGTATAAAAAAACCCCAACAGTCACAAATGTTGGCAAAGTGTTTTGACGCATTTTTGGTGCCAAATTTTTGCTACCTTTCCACCAAAACTAAATTGTGCCAAATTTTTGTCAAAAATATTACGTCACATTTTTGCAAAAGAAAAAAGTGCCAATTTTTTGCCAGAAAAAATGTTGACAAATGTTTGCGCATTTAAAAATGTCCGACCATCTCTAGCCGGCAGATAATTTCAGTAATGGCTTTATTGGAGGACTGAATGTCACCAGTGGCTTTTTAATGCAGAGGATACCTACAGAGCGTTATCATTTTATAGCCAGATTCGCCCACCCTGAAGGCCACATTGTGCTGCTGGTGTGTAAGGCTGGTCCTGCACTCAAGACATCTATCTCCAGTGCCTGATTCATGCTTTGCTTCCTTGTCTTTCTGTTCCAGGATCCTCCGCAAAACAGTGTCCCATCCTACCTGCAGAAGGCAGCGAGGGATTGATCTCTGTCGCCTGGCCTCTCTTTATGGGTTTTCCACTTTGTTCTCCTCCCCTGGTCTCAAATGCAGAGGAAAGGGGTTGGCACAGTCTCATTAAATGCTCCTGCTGTGTCACCAAAGAATGTCTCCATTCTCAAGCCCACGAGCAACAAAGCCGTAAACTGGTGGATTCTGAGCCACCAGGCAAAACTATGATACTTCAGGAGACCAGAGCTATGAAATCCGGGTCTCCAAGCCCTTCTCCCTGTGTTCAGTTCAGGTTTGGCTTAAGGAAGGCTCAGGTTGGAGCTTAAAAATTTAATTGAACCAATTCACCCAGTGGCCCAGTGTGTGCCTTGTTTGAGCCTTATCCTGAAACTGATTCTAAACTAGGATCTAGAGGCTGGCCTTAAGGCCCCAAATTTGGATCCAGATCTGTTTTTTTCCACATCTTGGCATTTGGAAGGGTGTGAGAGATCCAGGGGTTCATCTTAGCCCATCTTTTATTCTTTGCTTTACGTAATCCTGTATCATTCTCACTGCAATACCGATTCCTTTGTACTAGTCAGGCATGAATCTAGGACCCAGATACTATGGTGGTAGATACATAAGGTGGAATCCTGGCTCCATTGACGTTAATGGCAAAACCCCCATTGGCTTGAGTGGGGCGGGAATTCACCCACAGATTGTATTGTCAGTGGGTTTCTTTTTGTATTATAGCTGGAGATGGAGCCACGGATAAGGTTAAGGTTGCCCAAGTGTTTCCATTCCAAGCCCCTGTTTTCAAGTGTTTATTCATAATTTTAAACGTTTCCTTTTCTGAAACATTTACTTTTGGGGCTAACATTTTCCAGGCCTGCTAAATGATTCTGGAAAGTTTGAGCAAAATATATGGTATAATATGCTATTTCTACTATTTGAGAAACAGTTTGTGATCATGTGATTAAAGATGGTCTTATACAGGTAATGTTTAGACAGAAGGTGTCAGAGTTAAGGTTGCATGTTCAAGCTTAACTTTGCCATTCCCTGACCTTGGAGTGATTAGCTGAGCAGCGTTAATGTTCTCTTGATGTAGTTTTTCTATATGGAATATAGGCCATTATGGGTCTGATTTGATGATGAATAGCAGCTTACATCATAGGCCACGGAGCCTGGGAGGGCCAACCGGGCCATGGCCTGACCACCTTTTGGCAAGGCCAAACCTGAGCAGTGATGTGACCCTGCAGGCCAAGTTGCAACGCCACTCAGATTTGGAAGGGGGTAGCTGTAGGAGCTCCCGGGTTGGAGGGCATCAGGGGAAGAGGAGAGTCAGGCACTGGGGGGGCGGGGAACCAATTCCTCTACACACTTTAAATGACAATCTGCAGGCCCTGCCTTACTTCAGCAGCCATCTTGCTAAGGAAGGGTGGTCCAGTGGTTAGGGCCCTGATGTATGACTTGGGGGAGCTGGGGTCAGGGCCTGGCTCTACACAGATTTTCTGTGTGACCTTGGGCAAGTCACTTAGGACCAGATTTTTACAGGGAATTAATCCCCTAACTTAATTCCTAAGTTGCTTTTGAAAATGAGTTAGGCGTTGCAATGCTGAACAGAACAATGCCTGAATACCTTGAACAATCGGGGCTCTAGCCCTTCTGCACCTCAGTTCCCCATGTGCAAAAGGTGGATAATAGCACCTAAGATACAGCCAGATTTTCAGGTGATGAAAGGTGGCATCACTCCCGATTGACAATTGCTGAGGATCCAGCCCATGGACTTCAGTGCATCTGCTTGGAGACTAAGGTGCTACTCAGTGTGAGGGTATCAGCCTCTGGCTGTATAAACTGTTTGAACTTTGGGCTGTTCTATTGCTTACTTTGCATATAAACCAATGTGTCTTTAACAAATTCTAAACTATCGATACTTTATTTATTTTTTAATATAACTATGTCACCAACTACAGACCAGGCAGAGTGTCCTCAGAGACATCATCACAGGTTACTGCAACCTTATTAGTCGTTAAAATACAATCGTACCACCATTGATTGCATGAGGAATCGCAGCACTCACTGCTTGTTAATGTCACAGTGGTTCCTGTGTGTACAGTGCCCCTCTGCGCTCTTGCACTGCTTGGGGAAAGGTTCCCTCTCCTACCTGGTTTGCATAGGCCAAAGGAATCAGAGGAAACTGCATCCTGTTGATGACAAAGACAACATCAGGCACAGTGGGCAGGTTGCTGCAGGTAATGTCATACTAGAGGGGACAAGAAGGGAATCCTCTTATGAAAGAAACAACGAGCATAAAAGATGGAGATGGACAAGCTTCACAGGGTTTGGCTTTAGCCTGAAATCTTCATGATTTGTTTGAACAAAGCCTGAACAGGAACCCATCCCACGCGCTGATGGCATGTTACAAGAATAAACAATCCAGACAATCGTCAGCACCCCGCCCTGATGGTTGGTAATCCATCGCTGACGGTGACGACAATATTGTCACAGTTCTCATCTATAGCTACGCATACGACTCTGAAGCCCAAACCCTGATACATGGAGGGATTGGGAAGTCTGTATCTGGGACGTTTGATGATGCAACTCTGCGGTGCCTTTCAGCCTGGAGATGATTTTGTCGATGCTGCTCGAACCTGTTACATGCTGATCTTGTCAGAGATGGCCAGTGAGTCCTGTTCTGAGCCATTTGCTCGGTTTCCTGGAGACTGAGCCCAGCCCACTGGAGCCTGCTCTTCAGGTTACCCAATCCTGATAATCATCCCATAAATAACTAAACAACCACAGATATAATGGAGATAACAAAATATACCCAGACCTTCCAGTCCTCAGCTCACCCCCTCGCGCAAAAGCCCAATATTGGACTCAGATCATGTAGTGTTTAAAATACGGTCTGGGGCCAAATTCCTCCCCTAGTTCTACTGGTGTAACCCCAGTGATGTCACTGGTGTAACGGAATGGGGGTGTTACTGTTTTCCCATGCACAGAGACTTATTTGCAAAGGGCTATAAAATACTTCAGAGGCAATTGCGGTTTAAGATGACAGAAAGGAACAAGAAGAGCCCAATGGGGGAGCACCGGGGGAGTAGCAAACAGCAGGAGCTCTGAGAACAAACTGAACGCTGAACTCGGCACATAGACTATCCCAGGCTGGCAGACTCTAAGGGCACTGCAATAAAAGCTCCATGGCACAGCTGCAGCTGGCCTGAGGCAGCTGACTTGGGCTTGAAGGGCTCGGGCTGCAGGGCTATAAAATTGCAGTATAGAGGTTTGGACTCGAGTTCGAGCCTGGGCTCTGAGACCCTGCAAGAGAGGAGGGTCTCAAAGCCTGGGTCCACCTGAGTATCTATACTGCCATTTTTAGCCCCACAGGCTGAACCCCATGAGCCTGGGTCAGCTGCCCAGGCTCTGAGGCTTGGTGCAATGTTGTTTTTTGATTGCAGTGTAGGCCTGGTCTACACTACGGGATTAATTCGGATTTAGCAGCGTTAATTCGAATTAACCCTTCACCCGTCCACACTACAGAGCCATTTAGTTCGAATTAAAGGGTGCTTTAAATTGATTTCTGTACTCCACCTCGACGAGCGGAGTAGCGCCAAAATCGATTTTGTTAATTCGAATTAGGATTAGTGTGGCCGCACACCACCGAATTAATGTGGTTAAAATAAATGGGGTAGTGTGGCCACACACCACCGAATTAATGTGGTTAAAAACCGAATTAATGTGCTTAGTGTGGCCGCGCACAATCGAATTTATACAACCTGTTTCCCAAATTCGAATTATCTAAATTCGGATTAATCCCGTAGTGTAGACATACCCGTAGACTTGTGTACCCTTGTGATGGACTGTTCACTCCACACTTCCCCTGAAGGGGTTAAGGTAGCATGGAAGGGGATCATTAACTTAGTAGGCTGCACCTGGGGGAGAATTAGGCTGGCTGGCCTAATGGCAGATGAAGTTCAGCTGAGCAGGCGTAGGCTGGGCTGGGATAAAGCTAGAAAGGGCTGTAGGAGAAGTAGCCTGGGAGTTTGAGTTGGGCCAGAACACCGAGAAGGGAAGGCGTGATGAGGTCTGGGAGTAAGGAGACTCTGCTTGCTGGACAGAGAATCCTTGTGCTGGAGCCTGGGGCAATGGGCAGGCCTGTGTTCCCCTACATGCCATGGGGAAAGTGGCACAGTCTTAGGTTAGAGGATGGCCTGGAGAGACTTTGCTACGCACAACAAGGGAAAGCATGTAGTGACCTGGCTGGAAGACTAAGCCATGAAGAAGGAGCAGCCAAGTCACGCAGAGGGAGCTTGCTGAGTCCTAGTGAGTGAGTGGGGCTGTGGTCAGAGCAAACAAAGGAAGGGGGCATCAGACCTGGATGGAGCCAATCCCCAGAGCAGCCAGGAGGAGGTGCCCTAGCGGTGAGTGAGCCCCGGTTTAGAAATGCTGGACTCTTCTGCTGAGTTGCTCAACTCAGGCACTAAAACCCTGTGTTTCAGTGCAGGATAATTACTGCTGAGTCACACTGGCTGGAGGGCCCCATTCACTCCAGAGAGAGAATGAGGCCTTGTCTACAGGGAGAGTTCTACTGGTGGAATTATACTGGTATAGTTATATTGGCATAATCCCCAATCCGGACCACTCTCATTCCGGAATAAACTGAACCAACTGAAAAACTAAAAAGACACATCCTGGAATAAACGTGTCTACACAGAAGGGTACACTGGTATTACTCTATCACTTTAAATTTGCATTTTAGCTTCTACTGGTATAACTTTACCATGCAGACCAGCCCTGAGATCCTTTCAATAGGCCCGGACTATTAGAAAAGGGGGTGTCACTCCACTGAAGTCAATGGGGGATGCTTAAGCAATGGGTCAGTCACTCCAGGTTTGAAAATCATTCTCTGATCAGAAAGTCAGGAGTAAACGGGCTAGAGTGGAACTAGTGAATAGAGAATAGGCCAATAGACCATTTTGTGGGGCAGGTTCTGCCATGGGACATTCACACATGCAGTAATTTAATAAGGCTACTAAAGGAAGCTCATCTGAGATGCACAGCGACTCGAAGCCCAGACAGTCCCCCATTTATCTGATGGCTGCCACCTTGGCCAACTCCCCTGGGATTGAACCTGGCACCTCCAGAGCTAAAGAAGCAAGATTCTGCAGCTAGGCCTGTAACAGATTCATTGCGACAGATATGGCAATTTCCTGCAATAACTTTGGGAGATGTTACTGAATTGAGTTTAAATAGTTTTGGAGTCCACTTTATTATAAATGCAAAGTTTATGTATTGTTCAGGGATTGAATGTAGCTTCTCCAGTGGGGAGATGTGGCCATTATGAACGTTGGGAAGGTTTACGAGCATCATAGGACTATTTAACACAGGCGAGTTTTACAGTCACACTTCTGACTGCAGTGTAGATACAACCTGAGGCTGAGGGCCTGATCCTGTCAGCCCTCCACCAAAGTCAACCAGGTTTGGGCCCAGAATGAACTAAAGCAAGACCAGGTGGATTTCTCTTTTGCTAACTGACTTTTACTGTTACTGGGTTCATCAATTCTTGCAGTGAAGCAAATGCACTCATGATAAAATGCTGAGGCTAATTTACTTGGTGGTTTGAGGCTGGATTTTTTTATATAGATATTACATGCACTATTTTTGCATCAAATATTAATAACTAGAACATCAATTTATAATGATATGCGGAGCTTTCAGCTTCAATCCCAGGCATGCATTTGATGACTTTCAAAGAGGGAAAACTTTTCTGGTATATCAGAAGCAACCTGGGTTTGCAACGATGGGGCTTCACCTTGGAAAGAGAACATGTGCAGGAGAACTGAGCTTGGCATGTCAATAAACAATGCAATTAACCTCTAGTTAGCAGCCTTTGATACCCTTGATGATGAGATTCTATTGATTTCCCTGCCAGGAGGACATGGGTTCTTGCTTCATTGTTTGTTCTTTTTTTCCACATTGAGGATAGATGTGCGTAATTGCTCATCCATCCCTCAGGTTTTCTCTTGGGATCACCAACAAGGTTCTACGTGTCCCCCTCATGTTGTGAAGATAGTGTGATTTCCCAGGTATCCCAGGGTGAGCTAGGGAAATGGCTGATAGAAATCTGGCTAAATCTAAACCTGAACAAAATGAAGGTGATGCTGATAGATCAGGGGAAACATCTAGAGAGTATGGTGGAGATGCGGACTTACCCCTACCCCTCTTCACTACAGACTATAGATGCGTCTGGATCCCTGATTCCTCCTGCAGTCTCAGGTAGCATCGCTTGGGGGTGATAAAGTATCAATTTCCATCTGCGTTTGGTTAGACATTGCTCTCTGATCCAGGCCTTGCCATAATTATTCACGCCTCTCTGAGCCCCAGACAGTGTTACTGCTTTGTGTCCTACATGTCCTTACACTGTCAGAAGCTGCAGTGTTTGGGACCATCACAGTAGAATACAGAAGCACTTATTTATTAGGCTATTAATATTTATTTATAGCACTTACTTCTGAAGATCATCCAGAGGCTACAGCTACTGCAGAACATGACTCTCCCCATTCAGTGGACCACTGTACGGGGAGCATATTACACTAATTCTCCCCCAGCTTTACATTCATTTCTGGGTGCATTTCATGGTGTTGATTTTTATCTTCAAAACTCTCCAGGTTTGGGTCCTGACTCGAGCAGGGCGCATAACTGACTTTTAGATTCACTGGCAGTCCTGAAAAATTAGGGGGGTGGGGAAATCTGTTTGGGTTGAACCAAAACCGTTTGGAATTTTCATCTAATCAGAAAAGTTTATTTTTAAAAAAATGTAGGTCCGATGAAATGTTTGGGGTATTTTTTTTAATATAAGTAAAAGAAATGAAGGGCTA